GTACAATGACCACCCCTCCCTCGCACTAGTACCCAGCTGCCCCTCCTCAGAGCAGATTTCCCAAGAGGTGCTCTCAGCCAGGGTTTTGCCACTACCCCAACCTGACCTCCTGGAGCAGACACCTGAACAATGGTTTCTGAGTCATCCCCATTAAATCAGATGTCAAACTCCTGGTGATACCCCCCCCCCCGGGTAAGAAAGCTCCTGTTACTCACTTTGTCAGTGAATCATACCCAAATGTGTCAACAAAGCAATGTTGGAGAGGAAAGGCGGACAACCATTTATGGTCTATCTGGGCTGATGGTTCCATGGGAGACTTGGCATCAGCAATCTTGGTAGCATCCATGGCGATGTGGCTGACTCACTTTGGGCAGGTCACACTCCATTTTCCAGATGCTGGTCAGGCCAGACATGTGACTGTGGTTGGCTTGCCTCAGCACGGTGAGCATGAGCTGTTGAAGAGGTACTTAGGTTGCTCATGCAGGGAGGAAAACAGTATCCACACAGCAGGTTGAGTCCTTTACCATTTGATGTCTGTCAACTGTAAAGAAGATGTGTTTATAATGGGGCTGTGGGTAAGCATTTTCTCTAGCACTGCACAGTAATAGCACACTCCTGGAGGTGGAAAAGGTTGTTTCAAGTGGATCTGTCAAGGACTTTCTAGGCTCTTTGGAGATGGATCATCTCATCTTCGACAGAATGATTTCTCTCCTTGTGGCAGTGTCAGTTTGTGTTCCACGAGAGACAGACAAGAAGCTGGAACTGGGGAAAGGCCTGTGAAGAACTGAGGTGGAAATTGTCAGTGGAGCTCATTAGTAGAGTGGTGCATGAAGCTAAGAGCCATGGCGTTTTTAAGGTTCCATGACAGTGCTCTAACTTTAGTTATTTTAAAAGCAAAATGAACACCAAAACCCCAAATAGCAAGTCCGGCCCAGATGACTTCATCTTTATGCCAATGCAGTCATACTAGAAATTTTCATAGTGTATGAACAAAGAGCACTTAGTAGCCACAGAAGCCATACTGTGTCCCTGAGTGAAAAGTACCTTCAACATAAGATGCAGATCCTGAGAAAGAGGACAGGACAGGCCTCTGGCAGAATAGCCCAGCTGTCCTGTAACTGGTTGCAGCTTCACTGTCTAGGAGCAGCGTGGAGTGAAGTGTTCTTGGTAGGAACACTGTCAGGAATCCACAGGTGGGTCAGCAGAGACAAGCAAGCCAGCTTCCATGCCTGCAGCAAGTTCTCTTGCAGAACTCTGACCCACCTCTGTGCTCCCGCAGCAGGGTATGAAGAGACAAAATCTTATAGCTCTCCCCCTGGAGGTACCCCCTCGTGAAGGAGTGCTGCCTCACTCTTATGACATATAACAAGAGGCAACAAGGATGTTAGCTCTGTTTTTTATACTCCCGTGAATTCTTAGTAAATAGAGTTGTGTTAGCATGGAGTCATTTACAGTCACATGCATTCTCCATTATTAGGATGCTCCAGGCTGCCTGGATCCTGGGATTGCGTTAGATGGAGGGGAATCTGACTGTAAGATAAGAGGTGGTCTTCTTTACCTATCGGAAGTTCTTTGTGTTTACCTTGCAGATAGGTTTATTTGGTGCACACAATATCTTAAAAATCATAGTAAGGATTAGTGGAGTCGTCATTGTGTGTTAATTTGTGCTGCCCCTAAAGTTATATATTGAAGTCCTAAATCCTTATACTTCAGAGTGTGGCCTTATTTGGAAATAAAGTGAATTACTCTTCTCATCATCATGTGACAAAGGCAACTTAAAGAAAGAAGGCTTTACTTTGGCTTAGAAATGAAGGGATACAGTCCTGAGTGGTGGGGAAGCTATCAGAGTTAATACCGTTGTCAATTTGATACACTTGGGAACAGGGAACTTCAGTTAAGAACCTCTCTACTGGACTGGCCTGTGACTGTGTATGTGAGGCATTTTCTTGCTCATTAGCTGATGTGGGGGGAGGAGCTTACTGTGAGCAGTGCTATCTAGGCAGATAGGTCTGTATAAGACAGGTAGCTGAGCAAGCCAGTAAGCTTCATTCCTCCATTGGCCTTGGCTTTAGTTCCTGCCTTGAGTTTCTGCCCTGACCTTTTTCAGTGATGGACTATGACCATGGAGTTGTAAGATGAAAAAAAAAAAAAAATCCTTTCTGCCCCAAGTTACTTTTCAAGAAAAGCAAACTAGGACAGAAGCCATAGCAGCCAATGGCTCCGTGTCGCTGGGAGCATGGGGTTAGGACTTCTTACCTCCTAACATACCGATAGAACAGTAAACAAAAGGTAGACCACAGGCAGGGATAGGTTATAAACCTGCCAGACACCACATCCTAGAGCACCCGTAACCTCTCCAGAAAGTGCCACTATTGGTCCACCAACTGTACAAACACATAAGTCCATGGGAGACACTTTCCAGTCTCAGCATAATATGGAGTCTTGTACGTGCAACTAATAAGATGCAGGATTAAGTGGACTGCTCACCCAGTCTGAAGCATGTCCTTGAGAAAAGGGAAGGTTGAACCTAGGGAAGAGCACAATTTGGAGAATGATGTGTAAAAATAAAGACTGAGAGCTACAAGCCAAGGAGCGCTAAAGACTGTCAGCTGACAATGGAATTTATCTTTCTTTTACATCCCCTCAAGGCAACCAACTCTGTTGACATTTTGATTTCAGACTCAGAGCCTCCAGCACTGTGAGACAATAAATTCCCGCTACTTAAATCACCTCAAATGTTGTATTTTGTTGTCAGCAAACTAATATATGGAACATCACTTAAAAATTGGTAGATTTGACCACACAAACCTGGATTTTGCACGTTTGTGAGGGAAGACCATAGCACTGGGGTGGAGGCCCAGGCATTAGATGAGAATAGAGGCTGCTGACCCTGGGGGGTTGGGAGGTTGAAGAACACAGGCCCGTTCGAGAGGCAGCCATCTTACCACCTATGTGAGACTACAAGCCCTGTGCTATAAGGTTTTTTGATGTTTTCTGTAGAATCATGGATTCCATCGCCTGTTGCTGGGGAAATACAACTTCAAATACTAGCAACTAATTCATTAGCTTAGATTTCTCCTTGATCCAACCCATTTCACTTAATCTGCCTGGCTCTTTAACATCCAAGCCTGTGATATCTCTTTATTCACACTTGGATGCCTTGCAAAGATGATAAGAGAAATTATTTTGAAGTAAAGGAGATTATTCAAATTGCCGTAAGGAGAAAGCAAGCTTTGATCTGTCCATCTTTCCTCTGCCTTGGTGGGGTGACCACTTTGCCAGGAATGCCCTCATGTTCTGGATGACCACACACTAAGGGCCTTCCACACAGGAGGAGAAAACAAAGTGAATGCCCTGTGTGTTATTGTGTATGTTGTATTGGTCCTGCTATTCTTGCTGCTTTCTCACCAAATAAAAGAAATTCTTATTAACCAGTCACTATATCCTAAAAACAAAAATTCTGAGCTTAGAAAAAGAAAAAAACATTCTCTTCAAGCCACAGTGACTAGATCTTCTCCATCACAGCATAAATAAATTTATACAAAACTGCTAATAGTGATAATAACAACCCCTTATAGAAATCAGATCAAAAAAAAATCAGATCAAGTATAGTTCTAGATTCATAAATGGCATTACTATTTTCTTATAATTATGCCAAGTAATTATAATATGTTAGGCACACAATAAGTACTTTATATAAATAATCTCATTTCATACTCATATCAATCCTGTGAGGAAAGTACAATTGCCTGTATCTGTGGATCCCTACTGTTTAGTGGATAATACCAAGTCAGTAAATGTGTAACATACATAGTCACTTTTCTGATTTTTTTTTTCGTTTTTGTTCACTGTTAGTTGAATCCACAGATACAGGCAATTGTACTTTCCTCACAGGATTGATATGAGTATGAAATGAGATTATTTATATAAAGTACTTATTGGCAGAACAACTGTTGAACACCTACAAAGCTAAGGGTTTGATCCCTAACAGTGAAAAGATTAATAAGTGAACGAACAAACCAAGTATAGTGAAGCAGGCCTGTAATTCCAGTCTTCAGGAGTCTGAGGCAAGAGGATTGGGTATTAGAAGCCATCTTGGGCTACATAGCTAGGCTCAATCTATGAGCAGATAAATAATAAATAAGTTTGAAAAAGCATAAAAGATGTGCATAGGTTACATAGAAACATTAGTCCATTTTGAAGTAAGGACTTGAACATTCACACACTTTAATATGCTCAGGGACTCCTGGATCTAATCTCATCAGATAGCAAAGAGAGACCGTATTCTTGTTTCAGAGATCAGGAAATTAAAACCCAGACAAATTCAGGAACCTGCTCAAGTCCCAGCACTTTTCCAAGGAAGTAGGGTTCAAAGTCATTTCTCTCTGATGACAAATCAAAGCTCTCCCTATTCTCCCTATTGTTTCTGTTTAGATCTTTGGTGTAGGTTAGTGGCTCTGGGTCTGCCAGGTGCTGTTATCATTAGGGCCTGTTGACAATGGCATCACAAGCTCAGACTCCCAAACCCTAGCCCCGTCTTCGAGCACTCTTAGCATCATTCAAAGGCCCAGTATGCATTTGATGTAAGTTGTGAAAGTTTGTCCAGGTGGGCCTCTCCAGGCCTTTTAAAAAGAAGAAAGACAGTATAGTCTTGGTGTCTTTTAACTAGAAAAAAAAAAAAGGCTTGGGAACGGATCGCATTTGATATAGTGGTGTATTCATCTGTGAAAATTCAAACACTTTAAAGATGACACATCTTTCTGTGGGGATAATTTACTTCAGTCAAAAGTAAAGGAAGATGTAAACTGCTTCTTATCTGGCATTTGCAATGTGCGGTAAACCCATGTGTCCATCTCCCAGATATGACACTTACACACCCACGATCAGACTCTCCCCTCACCCTTCCAATGGATTATATAGAAGTGTGTCCCAGAGTGGCACAGGTTCACCTGCAACTTACCTGCCTGCCTTACCCAATGTTCTGTTCGTGTGATTTCCAGGCCACTACATGTACGTGGACTCTGTTTACGTCAAGCACTTCCAGGAAGTGGCTCAGCTCATCTCCCCAGTGACCACAGCCCCCATGTCTGGATGTCTTTCATTCTATTACCAGCTTCAGCAGGGGAATGACAATGTCTTCTCTCTCTACACTCGGGACATGGCTGGCCTGTACGAGGAGATCTGGAAAGTGGACAGTCCAGGCAATGCCGCCTGGAACCTTGCAGAAGTGGAGTTCAGTGCTCCTTACCCCATGGAGGTAGGTGAGCCCTGACCTGGTCTCACGCAGCAGAGAGGCTATATACACACAGGCATGGAGGTCAGGCCGCTGGACTTTCTTACCTACCTCAGTCATGATTTTGAAGATAGGTACACGTTGACTTTATTTTTTATTCTTAATTTAATAAAAACCATTGTACCTGGGTACTTGTGGTGCACACCTTTAATCCCGGCACTTACAAGGCAGAGGCAGGTGGATCTCTGTGAGATCAAGGCCAGCCTGGTCTACAGAGCAAGTTCCAGAACAGCTAGGGCCACACAGAGAAAATAAAATGAAACAAAGCACCAGTTTATGTAATAAAATATGATGTTTTGATTCATGTACACCATGTGTGGCAATCAAGTCATGATAGCTAGCATATGCGTCTCCTCAAATGTTGTATTATTTGTTGGTAGTGGCAGCACTTAAAATCCTTTCCCTTGGGTAATGCGAAATGTATGATCTATCATTATTAATTATAGTTGGCCTACTGTGCAATAAGAACCAAACTGTACACTTTTAGCCTAATCGGAACTTTGTATCCACAGACCAGTGTCTCCTTTTCCCTTCTACTCCTGATATAACTGCCACTTCTGTAACCTTTTAGAGGGAGGGAGCTGGAATGATAGCACTGGCCCCTGGGTAGGCCAGGCTAGGGCAGTTGATCTCTTGGAGCTGGGGCTGCAGGCATATTTGCCAGAGTACCTGGCTTGCTGTGTGTGTGCTGGGAACCAAGCTCTAGTCCACCTGATTGTGCAGCCAGCACTCTTAGCTCCTGAGGCATCTTTCTAGCCCTTTAATCTTTTCCTTTCCTTTCCTTTCCTTTTCCCTTCTCATTCCCCTTACTTCTCTAACTTCCTCTGTCTTTCCTCCCCACCTCTTTTATTATCTTCATTTTCTACCAGAAGTGTTTTCTCTGAGGACAAGTGAGGAAGCCAGTTCCACTAGCAGAATTTCCTGGCACATGTCCCTCTGATTTTGTGCAATGCCCATGGAGAGTTTCCGAGTATGACTCCTTCCTGAACCTCCACTCAAGGGTTCCTGGTCATCTAGGGTCCTTTGGCTTTTCCCAGATAGAAACATGGGTAGGCAAAGAGAAACTATCTGGGCATTGGTTTTTGGCAGGGTCAGTTTCCCTCTGGTTTGTGCAGCAGGAACGGGCAGCAGAAGGCAGATGGAGCAGCAGCAGGAAGTACCCTACAATGTTCCAGTTCTTGTTCAAACCTCTAGAACCCAGACCCTCAGCCCTATAAATGTTGTCCTTGCCTGGGGGCCTAGAAAGTCACATATTCAGCCATTTATACCAGAGAGTTTTGTTGCTGAGAGGCAGCATCTAAGAGCCTTGACTTCAAAGACTTGAGAGGTCTCTGAAACTCTTCAGTGACCAAGTCCTCCATGTTCTGTTTTGTGGCCCCCTGTGACATTGTGCCCCTAACTTCGGTCTCTGCTTTCTGCCCTCTCTCGCCATTTCTCTGCTTTTGCGTCCCTCTTCTTGCTGCCAGCCACTCCTGAGCTGCTTCAATGGGCTTCTCCAGCTGTCAGGAGCCAGCTGCCTTCCCACTTTACAGCTCAGCCTCCTTCCTGCTCAGCAGCTACTGCTCCACCTGCTATCGCCAGCACTCTGCTGTCTGGTGCCTCTTCACGTCACTCACTCAGTAAAAGAAAAGGTGACGGGAGAGAAGCTTTTTATTGGGTCTACAACAGCAAGGGAGATCTCACAGCACAAAGTCTCCAAACCAATTCTCTAAGTGAGCCTGAGTAGCCTGCTTCCAGCTGGACAAACCAATCACAACCTTGTCTCTTGGCACCAACCACAGCCACGGAGGCTGAGGTTTAAATCCATCACAGCCTTGCCTCTTTAGCACCATTCACAGAATCCCCTCTGTAAGGCTGCCAAAGCAGGTACCTATATGCACCTAGGTAGAAATGGCTGTAAGGTCATCCAGAGTTCGCTGAGATCTGCAAAAGCAAGAAGTCTGGTACGAACTGTCCAAGGGCTCCAAATGAAGCCGCATCTTCCAAAAGCCAGGGCAATCTTCTGTGATCACTGCATAGTTTACTCCAGGCGTTCCAGCCCTCTGGTGCTGGCACAAGCATAGTCTGGCTGGTTGTTAAATTGATAGTCCTTTGGCTCAAAGAATCCAGGCAGCAAGAGAACGGTCCCATAGCTGCTAATTGGAGGGTTGGGTTGCCGTGCCCAGCATCTATGCTTAGTTACAAGAAAATGTGCATCAGAAAGAGCGCTTACAATACAAACCTAAAGAGTGTTTCTGAGAACTAACACTGGTTCTTTAGCAATGTTTTAACAGAGCTTACCACCACCTGCCCAGTGCCCCAGGGAAGATGGGTTCCCTTTATTTGTTTCATTAAGATCAATTTTGAAGGTTTCACTTAATTAAGAGAACTGTCTTTCTAGGGGGAAAAAAAGTCTTCCTTTTCTGCAACAAAAATAATGTTATAAAATCAGAGGTAAACTTATCAATAGAGATTTAATTTGAAACAAATCTTGGTGTTCTTATGTTTCATCTCTTCACAGTTATATACATGATAAATATCCAAGGCAAAAAATCAGAAAATTCAAAGAAACAAAAAAATAAGTTAAACATCTTCACAATCAAAAAACTGTGACAATTGATGTTGTAGTGTTTATTGCTATAGGTCTTTCTTTAAGCACATAGCTGAATCCATAGCTGTAGAGTGTGTCTCTATCAGAACTTCCAAGCTTACTTCAGTGCTTACTGCCCACTAAAGTACACCCATAAAATCATGCCCATATTCACAGAGGACAGGGAGAAAACAAAAAACATCCAAGAAGTCTGACATCTTTTTTCTAGGTCACATAGCTCTCTGGTAGATGCCAGAGAGCTTAGGAAGACTTCCTAGACTAGAATCTAATGCTCTGCTCTAGACTAGAATCTAATGCTTCAGTCTGTCTGAGGCCCCCACCAGGCTGCAAGGGTACAGCAACGTGGCTGCTCGGCATGTAAGAGCACTGTAAGCATTTGCAGCTCGCTATAAGTAGAGTATTAGCTGCCACGAGTTATTAATACCTTCCACCTTTCCCTTTGTACTTTCTGCAGTGTCTTCCCTGCTTCCCTTCAAAGAACTGAAGTGGCTTGTTCCCCCGGCTGCTTTTCAGTGGCGCCATCTGCTAGCCTGCTGCAGAACTGGAGTAGGTTGGCTTGCTCTCCATTTCCAATGCCCCGTGTCTCCTGCTGGTGTGCCTGACACTACCTCCTTCGTGCCCCTCTCAGATCCCTCACCCCAAACAGCCTCCACAGAGAGAGAGCACAGTGCCTTTGTAGCATGCATGCTATTTCCTGTCACACAGCCTGGCAGGTCTTTGATTTGCTCTTACGGACGAGTGGAAATTTTTCTGTGACTTTGGGTTACAAGAAGAAAAAAAAAATGCTGCTCCAGAACATTTTCCCTCCACTAAAGTCAAATGAGTCACGTGTTAAATGCACATTTGGGCAGGCAAGTGTATACACATAGACACATGTGTGGTGTTTTCTTTACCAACTTCTTTTGTCCAACATAAACTCTTCAGACAACATTTGCATGCATGAAGCATTGCTGATTTTTTTTTTTAAATCAGCACTTGAAAAGTCATAATGCTGAATACTACTAATCCTTAGCATTCATTTTTGGAGCCACATGTGTGTAATTTTGCTCTGAATCTGAATCTGTTATTTCGGTTGTTTGCCTTTACTAATTGCCAGGGAAAGGAACTGGCACTGGAGAAATCTGTGAACTCCACGTTGCCACATTCTCAAGCGCATTTCAGAAGGAAAATAAACATAGGAAACTTTTTCTGAACAGAGAACCCTGGCATATGAGTGGTGATTGGCAGACTTGTGTCAGAAAGAGCTTCTAAATCTCTCTGCTCAATACGAACAAGGTCTTTTCCCATCCTCTATCAGTCCCAGTGTCACTGGTCTGTGTCAGGGGTGGAGGGCATGCACACATCAAAAATTTCCCTTTTATAAAGACTATAAGAACATCAGTCATTTGGAATAGACATCCGCCCTTCTGCAGTATAACCTCATCTTAATTACATTTGCAAAACCTTTACTCTCCAGTAGGGCAACAAACTGAGATCCTAGGGAGTAGGGTGCTGGGTAGCAGCTGCCTCCTTTAATGAGCTTTGCCTTCGCCACTCTCAAGACTCTGAATCCCAGTAAGGCAACTTTATATATTTATGCCTTCCTGGTCCTGGCATGCATTTATTTCAAGCCATGATCCACAATGTGTCTTAGCTATCAACTCACACAGCATAGACTGCACACCTGTTTTCCTTACACAACTCAGAGCTGAGCCGATCATACCTGATGGCTCATTGTCACAGACAGAAAGTTCCAGGTTAGTGGGTGGGAGACGTGAAAGTAAAGGAGTTGATATCAATAACACATGGTCTTCAAGAATCCATTGGAACATAGCAGGAAAGGCCTGGTCAAAGTGTTCCTCTCTGACTACTGTGTCTTTGCCCAGCCCCCCATCTGGAGTACCATATGAGGCCAGGGGCACAGACAGGTTAGCTTCCTATAGATAATGGAAGAAACTAATTTATCTTCTTCACTGACTTTTTTTCTATAGATGAAGCCTATGCATGATTCTAATGAACTCTGAAATTGGTCAGAAATGTCTTAGGCATGCTAGCTGATGCTCAAGGAGTAGGGACTAGCGCACCCAGTAAATACAAGCGTCAGATGTCTTGGTCCACTATGAGATGCCATAACAAAGTACCATGACCTCAATGACTTATCAACATCAGAAATCTATCTCTCACAGTCAGGAAACTGAGAAACCCAGGATCAAGGCGCTGGCGGATCCATCGTGGCAAGGGTTCTTTTCCAAGTGCACAGAAGGCCTCTTCCATTGTGTCTCCACATGGAGAAGAGCTCCTTGGGACTCTTGCCACTAACCTCATGTATGAAAGCTCCACCCTCATGAGCCAATCACCTCCTCAAAGGACCCACCTCCTAACACCACTGAATTGAGGATTAGACCTCAGTCGATAACATTTCAGCAGGCAAAGCTCCTCAGAACGTAGCAATTTCATTTTCCCTGAAAGAAGCACTGGGGTCGACAAGGGTGATGACCGAACACTCACGTTTTGGAAAATGATTGTATGAGTCCTTGTAACTCGGCCTCGGTTGGTTTGATTGAGGTGTCATTTTCAATCATGTAAGAGCGAGAGATTATGTAAATATATGCTAACCTGCCATTTCCCTTCCCAGGTTATTTTTGAAGTTGCTTTCAATGGTCCCAAAGGAGGCTATGTTGCCCTAGATGATATTTCTTTCTCTCCTGTTCACTGCCAGAATCAGACAGGTGAGTCCTGCTTATTCTCCCTCGTTTAGAATGGGCCTGCCTTTCAAAATACCCAGAGTTGGCACTTTTTTAAAATTGTCTTTAATTTCCTCACCTTGCCTTTAAAAGGTCATCAACTGAATAATCAGTTTTGCTGGGCTAGTACCCTCTTTCATCCCTCATATAGTGAATTTAATTTTTTGATACTGTATACAAATTTTCACGAGGTGCTTTTGTCTTTCCTCCCTATTAGGAAAGAAAAACTTAGATATTAATTTATGTAAATTCATTTATTTCCTTAAAAAATACCTTGAGTCCATATATGAACAGTTGGATAGATTAAGGGAAAAAACCCACAACCTACTGATTATGGATAAAATTGTAAAATCTCGAATTTTTAGGTCTCCAAAATTCATAATGTCTGTGTCTCCACGGAGAAAAGTGATCCTTACCTAACATTGTGCTTTATTAGTGCAGTTTGAGGCTCAGTGAGTTGAGCAAAAGTCACAGCAATAGCACATGCATTCTTTCCCCCCTACATATTACTGTCACCCAGACTCCATAGTTTACATTAAAGGTCACCGTTGGTATTGCATGTTCTATGGGTGTGGACAAATTTATAACGACATGTGGCCATTATTAAAGTGTAACACAGCCTCTCTCTTCTTCCTCCCACTGATCTTTTCCCTGTCTCCCTAGTTTTGCCTTTTGTACTACACCCTGTGGTTGTGGGTCATACAATCTGCAGTCTTCTCATACTGGCCCCCTTTGATCAATAGTGTACATCCGTTAAGTCCCTTCATGGCTCCGTAGATAATTTCTTTTTAGCACTGGATGATATTTCATTGTCTTAATGTACCACAGCTCATGTGCCTATTCATCAGCTGAAGACCATGGCTGATTCTCCGTTTTGGCTGCTGTGACTAAAGCTGCTATAAACTTTTGAATTTTAGCACTATCTCTTCCCCCTCTTACACACCTAATAAAGGAGTTAAGATTCTCTTGCAGCCCCCTAGGGATGCTGCTCTGAGTTTCATTCCTAATGAGTCATTTCACTGACCTGATGATCTCTTTGTGCCACGCATTTAGGAGTGCCTCGCCATTTCCTGAGCTAAACAACTGGCTGTACGTTTTGAATTTTTCATCTGTTTTTCATTACCAGGTAGAGGGAGGTTGGCTAAGAAGTGAGATGGTGGGGTTTCCTCTGGTCTCCATTAACCACAGGAGAATGCTGAAGAAATATTGAAGGATCCTTGTGGATATGACATTCACAGGCTTTGACATACCCTGGTTCTGATAGAAATGGACAGAGCAGCATATGGGTGAATCACCAGGCCTAGAGCACGGCCGCTCTCATTTCCTTTCCCACTATCAGGCTCAGACATGTGACCTGAAATGCCAACATGTTCCAGTTATATGGGGACAGTTTCTTTTTCTGTAATGCACTGTTAGTCATTATCAAAAGGGAAAAAAAGGAGAGAAAGAGAGAGAAATTTTGAAACACCTTTTGTAGCATTTCTGACTCAGATAAAATTTGCCAGAATGCATGAATACAGTGAAGAACCCCCACAGACTCTTCTCTCAGATCTATAAACTGATAGCATTAGACAGGACCAGCATTTGCCTTAGCAGGCCTGGAAGAACACTGTACTTCCTTTATCTATTGAGGTGTTTCAATGTTTATCTGCACTGTAACTATGGAATAATTAGGGAATTCAGGAAAATTATTACTGATACAATGTTATCAGTTCACAAAGTAACTGTTTTATATATATATATATATATATATATATATATATATATATATATATATATATATATATATATATATAGCTATGTGTTTTTTGGGTCAAAACTAAATTTTGGGCTCCTTGTAGCATTTGGTTGAAAGATTCAAATGACCACTTAGTCTGGCTGAGTTTTTCCACCCACATGAGTGCTTTCTTAGTTTGAAAGTTAACTGAGAGCATAGTCTTGTCCTAAACAGCCTCGCATCACCAGCTGGCTGTTCTCAGATTGAAAGTTTATCTAGAAATGACTTTCCAGCTATACAAAACAACACCCTCTATCACTCTGTCCCTAAAATGTCCCAGTTGTGTCTCTCATCATTGAGACTATGCTCATACTGAGCATCCCAAACTTCTTTGGTCACTCACAGCCCCTCTGACCCCAGAGGGAAACCTAAGCAATGAGGTTTCCAAGTCCTGTGTTAATAGGACCAACCATCATTCCCAAAGGAGCAGGACTCTCATGATCCACTCCATCCAGGCAATCCGGGACAAAGTGATAACTGCGGGCCATGATAAAGAATAACAGAAGTCAGCAAAACCCAAACAGCAGCAGCCCCTGCAAGTCCTGTTCTGACTTCTAAGTTGTGTGGTTTTGGCCCAGGGCTGCTTTTCCCCAAGTGCAGCAGTTGCTAATGCCAATCATAGCCCCTCTGCTGCAGAGCGAGTCAACCAAGGGGATTTGTCTCTGGAAAATACTATTTCTAAATTGCATCTTAGAACTTATGAGTCTCTTAAGATCCTCCCCTTTTTCTTTCTTTTAAACGTTGTAGGAGTAGGCTTGAAAGGTTTGAGTAAATGCTCACAGCCTTTACATTCTCAAAGGAAATCCCCTTTTGAAACCTAGCACGTGTTTATTTTTGTAAATAATGTGATCAGAGCTCCTTCCTGCCCTCCTTTTAGGGAGAAAAAGAACAATTTCCCTGTCATGTCAAAACACTGTTTTGATGATAACCTGTCAGCCTGCCACTTGGATAAAAATATTTTGCTGTGTGTTTCTCCCTCAGTTTCCCAGGCACAAATGTAGCTGTTTCTGTCATCTGTTTGATGGAGTCCTCTGAGAGTCCCAAGTTGGCTGTAACTCTGGTTCTCATTTGCCCAGGGCTTCCTTTCAGTGCTGTGGAAACAAGCTGTGATTTTGAGGAAGACCTCTGCAACTTCTATCAAGACAAAGAGGGTCCAGGTTGGACCAGAGTGAGAGTGAAACCAAACGTGTATCGGGTGGGAGACCACACAACAGGGACAGGTGAGCCCAAGGTTTGTCAGGCCACACTTCATGGGTTTGCTTTCACATACCACTTGCTATTCTATTCCATTTCTGCAGAGGCAATGAGGAAAAAGAAAGATAAGAAGAGATGGAGAACAAAGGAGTACTGGTGACATTTGGCCATTTATAAAAGTTACAATTCAAGACGCTGTGCTAACTCAAAAATTATAGGCAATTTTATGCCTATAATTTTACACCCTTTTCTTACAGATATCCTAAATTGTGAAAACACAAGCTTTACAACGGTTTTTCTAAACTTTGGGAAATTAACTCAGAGAAGATAAAATGGTGATATGAGCCTCACTTTCCCAGCTGAGACCCATTTCAATGAGCAAACGAAGCACTAGATAGACATATACACAAATGAACAGAACTCCAAGCACAGCAAAGGTGTCTGGGAGGAAACCATGTCCCTTTATTTCTTAGTTTCTGGAGCTGAGGCTGAGGATCAAGCAGACATGAATCACGTTAGCAAGAGAAAATTGTAACCTTCTAATAACATATTTTTATGTGCATTTGGGTGCCTTCTCAGGGACAAGGAAGACTAGAAAGATACATAGGCCTGAGAACTTACCATTTTTAACAAAAAAAAAAAAGATAAAGTTGTGGAAAGTAGCAAGACAAAGAAAGGGAGGGGTAGTGAATTGTGAGAAAATTACTAGAAACCTATGGAGGAAACTAATAAAAGACAAGAGTTTTTATTTTATGTACTGGGCTTGTACAGATCCATTTTGGCATAGTCTCAGCTTCTATTACACTGACTTCCTAAACAGGATGTGTGCCTTGCTCACAGGAAGTTATGTGGCCTGCTTCAGATAGAAAATGAGAGGATGAAGAGCCCTTCCTGACTCTACTGTTCCCTTCAGCTCAACATAATCAATATGCCAGAGTGGCATACTGGGGTGATTATCTTCTGATGACCTTTGGTGCTCTGAGAGAGAATAGAAGAAGAAACCGAATTTTGCCTGGGGATTTGGGAGTAATGTCGTCAAGGGAAGCTGCAAAGGAAAAGTATCTGTGAGATCTTTCAGTGTGGAGGGAGCTGACCACACTAACTGGTGGGAGAGGCAGTGGAGCAGAAATGGGGAATAAGGAAGATGGAGAGGCCAATGGATGACAGGTTTGGCAGATCAGAGTAAGCACGGGGGGATATTAAAATGGCAGTAAAAAGCTACTGAAAGGCTTTGAGCGGAGAAGGATGATATTTAGGTCATAAAAGGGTCTGGCTGTGGCGTGGCCACCCATATAAGTCCATTGGCAGCACAAAGTGCCGTGGCCTGGGCCTTAAATAACAGCCATTTTTTATCCCATTGGTAAGGCTGGAAGTCTGGATTCCAGGGACTGGTGGGACTTGGCTTCCTGGCTTTCAGATAGCAGTCACTGTGTCCACACATGCCCCACCTGTGTACGGGAGAGGACAAGCCCCCAGGCTCTTCTTACAAGGATGAGTAATTAAGAATACGTAAGGAAAACTGAACTGCAGAGCAAACACTGAAGTGCCATGAGGAGAATTACGAGAACCCGATCAGAAAAGGAAAAAACCGTTCTGTTCTGCCTCACCTCACATACATGGATCAATTTTAAGTTGACCGTGTGTAGCAGGCTTGACAGTTAAGAGGATCGTTGCTGCTAGAAATTCCCTCCTGTTAAGAAACAAGGAAATTGAACACAGCTTCAGCACCTGGAAGGGCCCAACTGGTCAGAAATATGATTTTTTTTTTCAGGGGCTGGTTTAATATGTGGTCAGGAGAACAGAGTGTTCTGCCCAGACACAGAAATCTCAAACAGGCCACTACAGATACAGCAGGGGAAATGAGCTCTTCAGTCACTGACTGTGACTCAGCATGAGACATGGAGCCTGGGTAGCTGGCTGACCCAGATAGTCAGGAGTCCCAAGCTCATCCTTTCATTTTTGTATTAAAAAAAAAAAAAAGAAAAACAAACAAACAAACAAACACCATCATCCCTAATTAATGTTATGAATCTGAGTCTGTGTGCTATAAGAGCTATACTGCTTTATGGCATTTACTTGACTTTCTAAGAGGTTTTATTTGTAGTCAAGGTCTAAAAACATTTTATAGATTTTTTTTAAAACCACAAACATTAGAAATGGTCTTTTTTTCCTTTTTTTATTTTATTTTATTTTATTTATTTTATTTTTTGAGAGAGGGCAAATTACTTTATTCCAAGAATGAGTGCCCTATGTAGTTATCTAATACAAAGCAGTCAACCCTGAAACAATATACACATATAGAACAAAAACAGATTTAGGTTATATTTACATATCTGTGTATTTATATATACATGCAACAATAATAATCAAAGGAAAAGAATCAATCAGTTTGAAAGGAGGTGGAGGATATATGGGAAGGTCAGATAGAAGGAACATTGGGAGGGCTGGAAAGAGGAAAGGGAGCACAAAAGTGATCTAATTACATTTTAATTACCGTAATTAAAGTACAAATGTTTAAAGAATAATGTTTTACAGTTTTGAAAGCCAAGTTTTGTCTTTTTTTGTAAATTATATAAAAAATACTTGCATGACATTTTTGTTTGTTTTTTTTTAATAGTATTCTAGCAGGAAACATGTTTTTATGTTTATTCAAAGAAGATGTCTTTCATCAGCCCATACAGTTTTCAATAACAAGATTATCATGGACTCTTATGCAAGAGACATTTATTATTGAGGGAAGCCCAAGAACAATACACCAATTTGGTGTCTTGAACAGGCCAAGTACTAAGGCTCCTAAAGGGAGAAACGCCTTACTGTGTCCCGTCATGGTGTCCCAGAGAAGGCCCACTTGGAGTCTTCTTTTTTTATAATAATTTTTATTTTTTATATTAATCACAGGTTATTTACTTTGTATCCCAGCCATAGCCCCCTCTCTAATTCCCTTCACATCCCTCCCTCCCTCATCTCCTCCCTGCCACTTTCCAAGTCCATTGATAGGGGAGGACCTCCTACCCTTCGATCTGACCCTAGCTTATCAGGTCTCTGCAGGCCTGGCTGCAATCTCCTCTTCTGTGGCCTATCAAGGCTCCTCCTCCCTTGAGGGAGGGGGGAGGGTTGGAAGACCTAGCCATTGAGTTCATGTCAGAAATAGTCCCTGTTCCCCTTACTAGAGAACCCACTTGGATACTGAGCTACCATGGGCCATATCCGAGCAGGGGTTCTAGGTTATGTCCATACATGGTCCTTGGTTGGAGAAACAGTCTCATGAAAGACCGCTGTGCCCTGATATATTTGGTCCTTGTGGAGCTCCTGTCCTCTCCAGGTCTTACTAACTCCCCCTTCTTTCATATGATTCCCTGCACTCGCCGAAGGTTTGGTTATGAGTCTTAACATCTGCTTTGAGTAGATACATTTCATTTTTTTTTAGATTTATTTATTATTTATACAACATTCTGCCTGTATACCATATCTTACTATACATGGTTATGAGCCACCATGTGATTGCTGGGAATTGAACTCAGAACCTTTGGAAGAACAGCGGCTGTTCTTAACCTCTGAGCCATCTCTCCAGCCCCTTAACATCTGCTTTGATACACTGCTAGGTAGAGTCTTTCAGAGGCCCTCTGTGGTAGGCGCCTGTCCTGTTACTTTTTTCTCCTATATCCAATGTCCATCCCATTTGTCTTTCTAAGTGAGGATTGATCATTTTACTCTGGGTCCTCTTTCTTGTTTATCTTCTTTAGGTGTATAGATTTCAGTATATTTATCCTATCTTATAGGTCTATATAAATGAGTATATACCATGTGTGTCTTTCTGCTTTCAGGATACCTCACTCAGGATGATCATATCTAGGTCCCACCATTTGCCTGCAAATTTCATTATTTCCTTGTTTTTAATTGCTGAGTAGTATTCCATTGTGCAAAAGTACCACAATTTCTGTATCCATTCCTCAATTGAGGGACATCTGGGTTGTTTCCAGGTTCTGGCTACTACAAATAAAGCTGCTACAAACATGGCTGAGCAAATGTCCTTGTTGTGTACTTGAGCATCTTTTGGATATATGCCTAGAAGTGGTATAGCTGTATCTTGAGGAATCACTATTCCTAATTGTCTGAGAAAGCACCAGATTGATTTCCAAAGTGGTTGTACCAGTTTGTATTCCCACCAGCAGTGGAGAAAGGGGACCCTTTCTCCACAACCTCTCCAGCATGTGTTGTCACTTGAGTTTTTCATCTTGGCCATTCTGATGGGTGTAAGGTGAAATCTCAGGGCCGTTTGTATTTGCATCTCCCTGATGGCTAAGGATGTTGAGCATTTCTTTTAAGTGTTTCTCTGCCATTCAATATTTCTCTATTGAGAATTCTCTATTTGGCTCTGTATCCCTTTTTTAACTGTATTACTTGATTCTTTGCTTTGTAACTTCTTGAGTTCTTTATATATCCTGGATTTTAGCCGTCTGTCAGATATAGGGTTGGTGAAGATCCTTTCCCAGTCTGTAGGCTGTCGATTTGTTTTGATGACAGTGTCTTTTGCTTTACAGAAGCTTTTCAGTTTTATGAGGTCCCATTTGTTGATTGTTGATCTTAGAGCCTGTGCTGTTGGTGTTCTGTTCAGGAAGTTGTCTCCTATGCCAATGAGTTCTAGGCTCTTCCCCACTTTTTCTTCTAACAGATTTAGATTTTTCAATTTTATGGAGTACAGGTTTTTGAAGTAAGACCTAATGATTCTTTGGATTTCCTCAGTATCTATTGTTATGTCCCCCTTTTCATCTCTGATTTTGTTGATTTGGATACCATCTCTGCCTTTAGGTTAGTTTGACTGAGGGTTTGTCTATGTTGTTGAGTTTTTCAAAGAACCAGCTTTAGGCTTTATTGATTCTTTGTGTTTATTGATCTCTTTGTGTCTAACTTATTGATTTCATCCCTGAGTTTTATAGAAAGCATCTTTTACAGTTTAAAGCCTACGGAAGTTGTTTCTGCTGGAAAACCCCACTGCTTTAACCAGTTTCCACCTGACCATCTGTGTGAGCTCATTCCGCATGGCTCTTGTACTCAGTGGTTCTTAAGCTTCCTAATGCTGTGACTCTTTAATGCAGTCCCTCATGCTGTGGTGACTTCTAACCATAAAATTGTTTCATTGCTACTTCATAAGTGTACTTTTGCTGCTGTTTGAATTGCAATATAAACATCTAATATGCAGGATATCTGAGATGTGACTCCCAAAGGGATTGCAACCTACAGGCTGAGAACAGCAGTACTAAGTGGTTTGTTTTCTTCACAGGGCACTATCTTCTGGCCAACACTAAGTTTACATCCCAACCTGGCTACATTGGAAGGCTTTACGGTCCCTCTCTACCAGGAAACATGCAGTACTGTGTGCGCTTTCATTATGCCATCTTTGGATTTTGGAAAATGAGTGACACCCTAGCAGTTTATCTCTTTGAGGAAAACCACGTGGTTCAAGAGAAGATCTGGTCTGTGCTGGAGTCCCCGAGGGGTGTTTGGATGCAAGCGGAAATCAGTTTTAAGAAGCCCATGCCCACAAAGGTACAGGAGAACCTTCACTACCTGTGTCCATTTTTAGTTGCTAGATGGTCAGTGATTTCTGTTTAGTTACTGTCCAGTGATGATGCTGTATTCTTCCATTCAGATTAATACCTGTGTTCCACTCATATAACCTGCCCCAGACAGGGACATGTTAAGTCTGCAATTCCTTTGCATTTTCTGAATTATACCCTCCTAAGAAATATATATATATATATCTCCTTCTCTCCTTCCCTCTTTCCTTTCCTCTCCCTTACTCTTTCTCTTCTTCTCTCTCTCTATCTCTCCAATACACACACACACACACACACACACACACACACACAATACTGAAATTAAAAAGATGAGATCATTCTGTCTAGGTCTTCACTGTGACTTTAAGGTCAATACTAAAGGCCTTAGCAAAGCAAGGAATAAAGACAGGCTGCTCACTAGAAATATGAAACCAGCTGACCCCACTCAGAGACGGTACAAGGAGCCATCAACAGGTGATTTTGATAGCAATGAGAATACAAAATAGACCTATAAATCAAGAAGAATGCAAAGGAATGACAGTAACCTCCAGGCTTAACAACTCATAAACTCAAGGAAGTTTCACAGATACAATAAATTCTGTGAACTATACGGTATGAAACTTGTAGGAAAATCCATTTTGTTTCACCCTTGTCAGCCAACTAACAAATTTTTCACAAGTGTCCTCTCTGTGTAAGAAAGAGGCCCAGAGATAGTAAATAACTGTTCTTTCCTCCAAATATATCTCATATAAGGGGAGCTTAGTATATATCATTGAGTGAATGGGTAAGTAAACCGACCATCACATCATCCAGGAGCTACCTCCACTCCAAGTTCCCCAAGAAAAGTTAAAACTATGGGAGAGCAAGACAGTCCTTTAGCCTGTTCAAGTGTGTCCTCAATGGATTTTTTATTATTATTATTAATTACAGTTTATTCACTTTGTATCCCAGCTGTGGCCCCTCCTTCATCTCCTCCCAATCCCACCCTCCCTCTCTCTTCTTCTATGCCCCTCCCCCAGTCCAATGATAAGGGAGGTCCTCCTCCCCTTCCATATGACCCTAGTCTATCAGGTCTCATCAGGACTGGCTTCATTGTCTTCCTCTGTGGCCTGGTAAGGCTGCTCCCCCCTCAGGTGGAGGTGATCAAAGAGCCAGACCATGAGTTCATGTCAGAGATGGTCCCTATTCCTATTATTGGGGAACCCTCTTGGATACTGAGCTGCTTTGGGCTACTTCTGTGCAGGTGTTCTAAGTTGTCTCCATGCATGGTCCTTGTTTGGAGTATCAGTCTCAAAAAAGACCCCTGTGCCCAGGTCTTTGTACAAATATCTTTTGACACCTACAGTATTGTTGCACCTTGTCTTTGATCTATCAGCACTGAAAAAGCCCAGGCCTCTCTATACCTCTTAAGTGTCTCAAAGACTTAAGTTGTTATCAATCATTTAACTCTCACAAATAGTTATCACAACAAACAAATACACACCACACACACATACACACCAGTTTCACATTATCAGGGTGCAACAGAAAGTAGAATTTTTGTCATGCTTTAAATTCAATTTTGTTAATTTTTAAAGGAAACTATAATAAGCATCTTGTTTATTATTTGGCGTACATGTGTTCATTCATCCATGCGTCTGTTCCTTAATTCAACCATCATGTATCCTGTATATGTTTGATGCATATAAAGATAAATGAATCTCAGACCCTACTCATGACACAGGGGTCATATGTGATAGCAGACTGAGATACATAAGATTAAGATACACTCAGTAAATGTCACTACCCCACAGAAGGACTGCTCAGAAAGTTATAAAAGTGGCTCTACTGATTGTTATTGAAAATAATGTCATCCACACTTTGGCATATCTAATGTTTGGAGGGTCAAAGTTCAAGCCACAATGCTTTCTAACCCCTGTTCCTTCTCTTCTTGATAACCTCTACTAGCAAATACTGGGATATTTAGGAATCTGTTCAGTTCTTTACAGTGAGTCCCCACCGCTAGGTGACTCCCATGAAACTGGTACAAACCTCCTTCGAAGATAAGGGCATGCAAGAGGTTCTGCCCTTTTCTTTGTTCGAAGCTGAATACCAAGCTGAGTGTATATGATGCTCAGCTACTGTGTGGTTCCTCACCACAGAAGGTAAAATTGGCACCAGACCCAGTCAGGCTAGAGAGCTCTCACAGCACCTGGAAGGAACTGGGCATGGACTCAGATGGAAGTTCAATACAGAAACCTCCAAGTTCCAGAAGATTCTAGAACCTCTAGTTCCAGAAGATTTCTGCTGGGCAGAACTAGCTCCTCGGAGTGGGAGAAGCATTTGTAACTCATGAAAGAGGATGCAGTAAGCAAGGAGAATTGAAGCTTGATGACTTATGGTTTACACATGTGTGGACTTATGTGTTCATGTGTTATGTTTTCACGTTTATACACATGAAAGCTACTTATGACAAGGGACACAATGATGAGCCAGTGCTTCTAACACTGCCCATTGCTCCTGAACACAAACTCCAATTCTACTTCTGTTTCATTCTGAGGAGTTTCCTTCCAGATTTGCAGTGTTTTCTTCCATTAACCTTACTGTGTTTGCTGATTCCCTGTTATGAGAAAAAATAAGGACTTCTCCTTACCATAGTTTTTAGTTGTATTAATTTTGGCTCTTATAACTTTAACTCTACCTCAATGTCAAACCATAGATAGTTTTTAATTACACTTACTTTATAAAATGAATAAATCCTCACTCATAACTTTCCTTTGTTTTCTTTGTCCTTCTACAAATATATAGTTGTTTTGATATTGTTATGACCTAAACATACACTTATATTTCTGCTCAGCCCTCTGTGCTTGACCTTGAACAAATATCCCATCAGAGTTCCTGTTGACATAAGGCTGACAATTCTGTCATTGTAAAGACCCATCCATCACATTACTGGATTTTAAACTTCTGTAGTTATTGCAACAACTAAAATTATTTGTGCATTTATAAAGTCCCTAGAGGTGCCATATCATCCTCGGATGAGAACCACTGATCTTTAAGTTGATTCCGCTACTTAAAAAAATCCTATCTCTAGTTGAAAGCCATGCATCTTCCCCCTCTGTCCACTCTTTTGTAGCAGAGTTGCAGTGAACCCTTGACTTCTACTTATTTTCAGTGTCTGTGTGCTCCTTTGTTTTTCTATAGTACAGGAAAATCAAACTATGCTGAACTCAGGATTGGCAAACTGGGAGGTTTTCAGTGGCTAAAGGTCTAGGCAAGTTCATGTTTGTGTGTGGATTCCATGTCAAGTCTCCCACTCTGCGATGCTGAGTGCTGTTCCTATGTGCCCACATGTTTTGGATGGGTGCTCTTCAGACCCCTAAGAAGCTAGCGTTAGAGGTGTAATTCTTGTGTGAGCACCCTTCAGTGCCTCCGAGGAAAGCATTTCAGAAGTACATCACCAAACGTGGGCGATTGTTCCCTACGTGTGGATCCTGTCCACAGAGCGTATGTTTCTCCAAATACTCATCACATTTAGAAAAGAGTGTTCAGTCACAAAGCTCTGAAAATAGGCACAGAGTAAGTACTTGTCAGGTATTGCACGTTGTCTAGAAGCTTTTATTGGCTGCTTTCTACAGTTTAATCACTCAGTATTTATTTTAACTTATTCTAAACTGGTAGAAGCTTACGAGATTTTTCCGAGCATATTGAGCTTTGCATACATTTTTATAATAGTTGGAATTTATAATGACTAAGATTCTGAAGTGAACCTGCTGGAACTTCTAGAAAGTTCCAGGATCAACCTAGGTCAAAAGCAGAGGCAACACGTCTGTTCATGAAGCCTATACTTTGTGCCCAGCACCGAACTCTTCTCCCTATCAATCCTTATCATCTCCAACAATCCATTTACAGAGGAGGAGGCTGGCATCTCAGCCTGGTAGAATGGCTCCAGAGTTTCTTAACGCTCTCCTTCAACTTGCAGGCAAGATCGTTAAGTCTGAGCTCTGAAATACATCCTAGACTCATTCTGCCTCACTTACCACCACCTCACCCCAAATCACCACACAGCCATATTCACCGCAATTACGTGGAGACTTTGCTCTTTGTGACCCCAGCTTACTGTTTCTCTGCTCTGAGGCAACAGCCAGGTCACCTCCCTGAAGCAGAAGTCAGGTGGTGCCATTTCCCCCAGGAAGCTCTCCCATAGCCTACTGGACAGAGACTTCCACTCCCACTTCTCTGCTCATAGGCGTGCACTCTCATGGGACCCCTCGCTGTCCTGAGTGTGAAGGTCATGCCTTCATCTTGGCCTTTTCACTTATAGTCCCTTTGGTATTGAATGTCCTTCCCCAATAGTTCTCATATCCCCCTTACTCACAGGTCTCTGTCCCACATGACAGAGCCCTTTTCTCTCAGACAGGAATTTTCCAGACCACGCAGTTCAGCCGCTTCTTTCCCCACCTGCAGATTGTTCCCGTCATATTGCTTGTCTTCTTTTGTGCCCCGCAGCTACCCCTATCCACAATTAGCTGATTTTTTTTGTTTACTTTTTATTACCTTGCTCCTCTCTTATGAAAGTAAAGCCTTCCTATAAACAAAGACCTTAGCAGCTTTTATCATCTCTGTGCCCACCTGTGTGAATTTCCCTAAGAAGGGAAAATATTATTACACTCAACAGAAAGGTTTGGCAAAAAGTAAAAACACTGGGCCAGGCAGTGGGTCCCAACACTCTGGAGGCAGAAGCAGGTGGATTTCTGATTTCAAGGCCAACCTGCTCTCCAAATCGAGTTCTAGGACAGCCAGAGCTACACAGAGAAACCTTGTCTAGAAAAACAAAACAAAACAAAACTAGGATGATATTGTTGAATACCACAGGGCTTTTAAGTGGCAGGGCTAAGAGTCAGGGTCTCTGACTCCAGAACACATGCTGTTTTTATACACCACACATACGCCTTTCGACCCTCTCTTGGTTCATGTCAAATGACAGGATCAAGTGGGAAGGAAACAGCC